GGTAGATTGTTGTTAAATTTTAATAAGAAATCCATACCTGTGGAAGACCACTGAACAAAATGGACCTTGGATGGTACTTATTTGATCCACTTGTCTCGTTATCACTCTCATCATCTGTTGTTGCCATGGTTCCTGCTTCTGTGTCTGATTCTGAGGCATTGCTCTGKGGTGTTGGCATAGATCTTTGACTGCCTAGCAAATTAGACATAAGAAAATCCAATTATTTTGAGATGGTTACAGAAAATTTTGATAAAATAATGACAGTGTGGAGTTAAATCTAAGGACCAGTATTTGTTGAATGAGTATACTTATATTGATCACAGAATATTTCAGTTCAAGAGCAACTTTTAAGTGAATTAAAATTCACTTAATGTCCCTTATCACAATTACTGTACCAGAAGGTACAAGAAAATTGCAAAAATGTTAACAGCATTGAATACATTCTTTGCCCCTTGAAACAGAAAGTTCAAAATACAAAAATGCTATCAACCATCACCAAAATGAAATAACTATATCATGCAATTACTGTATGTCAACGAACTTACTTGTCCTGGTATCGGGCGCAATTCTAACAGTTTTTGGTTCTCGTTCTTCACTGGTTTGCTTCTGACATGGACTGTTTGGCTTGCTGTCTTCCCCAGTATTATCCTCGGTCTCGCTTCCAGCAACTAAATCCATGATAGAATATCATTATCACCATGATATAACTATCTCAAGGACTATAATAGATCTCTGGCAACAATACCAGGAATTCAGTGAATTACTCTGACTAACTGATAGTGAATACATCACACCAGCACAATATCACACCTATACATGCTCAGTTCATTGAGTGAAAAAACAGCAAGGGGGACATTAAAAAAAACACAAAAGTGACTGGTTTTCCCTTTCTTTCTATCTGTGTCTTTGGATTAGAGCTTGCTTTACCTGATGCCTGCCTTGGTGTTTCGGTCATAGTTTCTACAGCTGACATGCCATCTTCCTCCACAACATCTGAAAACAAACAAAAACCCCTAAAGCATCAGTATCTAGTCATGATTACAGTGACAGCATTCTCTCTGCCCAGAGAGTATATCTATATAAACACAAATCAACATTAATTAAACAATGATATTCCTTTATCATAACCAATAATGCCAACATGAAGTAACGTTATCTTTTGTATGGAGTGTTGTGAAATGGTGTAAAAAGTTATGAAGTAAGGCTGTAAAGTATGCACTGCATATAGCTTACAGTAATACATGAAATAAAGTGTAAAATAATATTCATATTGTAAAAGTCATATGTAAATAAGGGTCATAATATTTATGGCATATGGGAATCATATTTGGACAATATTTGATGTTCTACACATGTATTGTGAATATATTTTTCACAATGCTGATATGACAACATCGTGAAAATAGTTAGCTTAGAAGAACATTCACAGTGTAATTCATTAATTAAAACATGGGTGAACTGTTGCTTAACATCCAAAATTCATTATAAACAAAATGTTGAAAGTTTTCACATGTATGGCATGCACAAATTTCTCAATTTGTTGTTGTGTTTTTGACAATGAAAATTTTAATTTGCTCAATCTTAGATAAGGTTAAATTACAAGGATAAGATAAATCATTTTCAAAACKTCATTAACAAAATCTTTGACCTAACTAAATCTCATAATGATAATTATAACACTTCAGTTGTAGGAATACTGGAATACCTCACAATATGTAAAATGAAATAGCATTGGTTTACAGCCCTACCACATAACAGTGATTTACAAAAGACAATCACATGGACATCACGTTACACACAGCACATAAGAACAACAACACAAATATAAAACAGCTATTTTGCATCTAAACTGTCCTTAAAACACCAAAGGTTTCCTGAACAATTGTTAATATGGTTTCTTTGACTTCATTTCACCAAGAAACAAATTTATATTTGTGATAATTTTCAATACATCTCTGAAAATTTTTAGCTTTGTAAACTTGTTTGTGTCTTAGCAAACATGAATGGATGCAAATATGAGCTGCATTATGAAGCTTTTTTGTAATTTGAACACACAACAAACTACAACTTGCCATCTTATTATGCTAGATAGGTACATGATAGCATAAATAACCTCAATTTAACACGATACACGCCATCAACACAAGTACAAGTAAATGAGTGCAGTTACAGAGCAAATAGAAAAGGGAGTTGTTTACAATATACTGCTGCAAASAGTGCAGCCTAATTACCAGGGATATCCGGACTAATAACTATGCCACTGGCACTGCGCATGCTTATCACTGTTCTGCTATTCACKGAGCTGCATTGTGTTCCCACTAGGTTACTCGGCTTAGGTTCAGTCCATTTACGATAGTAGAGGGATTGATTAGCTGGATTGGACGTCACGAGATGAGGACGTCCGTGGCCAATCCAGCGTGTTTGAGGTGTGGTTGGGAGCAGTAGGTGCTTGGGATAGCCGTAGAAATCAGTTTGAAAAGCTTTGAATGCTGACCGCGACACTAGTATGACTGGAAGTGGATAATTGGAAGAATAGTGGCTTGTCTTGGTAGGGACACTACTTGTACTTGAATCATCTTTATTATCATCCCCCTCGGCCATAGTTCCTTCTTCTACCCCTGCATTCCTTGGCCCTACCCCTGTACTGATGTAGCAAGCAATTGCACTGAATTCCAGTTCCAAAGATGACCGGTACAGAAAACCACGGTCTATTAATCGAATGTCGATATACTTCAAAGACCTAACAAAAGATATATGATTAAGGACCTTGCACTGCTCACCAACCAGTTGAACAGGCTTCACAGGTTTGGTATCCGCCAAGTTGTGGTCTCAACACCATGGCAATTCCTATGTTATAAACTTAGAGCACAGATTTGCATAGAAAATTTGATGAGAAGGGAAAGCTTAGTCATCACAGAGTCTCTAGAATACAGAGTTTTACAACAATAAAAGAATGTTTAATTATCTTGAGCTTTGGTCTACACAATTGAAAACAACTTGGACTTAAATAAACTGTCTTTCAGTTCAAGACTGATATAARCTACTGATATTTTTGTGAAAAAACGTTTATCATTTTTAGTATGTTGAAATTCATCTCTTTCAGGTGCCCAATGCATTACAAATACATTAGAATTTGCCTGTCATTAATCCTTTGTACAAACTATTTCTCTTAATGTCAAAAACGATTATTWGTCAATTTTACATTGTTGACAGATCATTTTACTCACTCCTTTCTTGAAAAYCTMATGAAACTGGATGWATAAAGAAATTATTTTGGAAAGAAAGAAGGAAAGTTCCGTACTATAAAAACTCTGTGAAGAGCATTACAAACACACACAAAAGGCTTGTCAACAGTGAAATAAAGTTTAGKACATATACAGTCCACTATCCTGGTAGTTATGTTTTGGTTAAAAGTACCAAGAAAAACATTAATGGTAGAGTCTACTAGCTTTAGTACCAGAGGAGCGAACTATTATGTTCTACAGCCGTATTTCACCTTGCAAACAATACATACCATACAGACATCTAATATATATCACCTTAGTAAGCTCACCTTGGAAATGTTTCACCTGTACGCTCCCTGCCACTTAATAATATTATACATGGCAAATCAAGCAACTCTTCATAACATCTTGGGTGCCAGTTCTCAACTGTATTACTATCCAAAAGACCTGTTTAATATTGAAGTATATTAGATCACTGATGTGATGTATAAATGTACAATATGATGTACAAATGTAATCCTAGTACCACATATCATATTAACTAGCATGCGTACATCCAGTTTATTCTCTAAAATAACGGTATTTGCAAGTAAACTCTGGATGAAACTCAGGCTACATATTAACACACCTCTTTGGGTTTTCCAAAATCTGAGTCTTTTCAGGAAATACTCTTCAATCTCCAGCTCACCCATCCCATTGTCATGTATGACAGCAAACCTGTACTGGAATCCAAGTCTACAGGAACAAAAATTACAGATATTTAGAGTAGGTACATGCTCATTAAGTGCATGACTTATATTGAATTCTCTGCACGTTGACATTTAGTTTAATTTCTTGAATTGTGTAAAAATTTAATGATGAATATAACTTGTTTTTCTCCTGGTGATAAACTAAGGGTGGTCTGAAGCCCCAGCTAATATGGAAAAAGCTATACACCAGTACACTTGAACTGAATCATACAGCTATACAAGTTATGAACACAGACTTTTCAATTCATTAATATCAACTATCAATAATCTTTATCTGTTAATGCTCATCATTTATCAAACTTATAATCTAAAACTAGATAATTATCATCTTTCATCATAATAAAAATGTTTTTTATCAAATGTACCAGCTATATATGCTGTCTTCCAATATGGTATGATAATTGGCACATACCTATCTCGTATGACCTTCAGACTCTCATARGCCATCATTGCCAGTTCTCCAGATGGTATTCTAATAGCTAACATGGATCCACTACCATCTGCATTTCTTAAAGGTGACTCAATRATCTCACGGATGATTTGGATTGTTTTCAATGTGCAGTGAGGTTCTGCAGGCTTGATACCAGCYGACCACATGATGGCTGCACAGTAATGACGAATAAGTAGGTAGCATCGCAGGACGCTTACATTAACATCCTCTGTTGCCCTGTTAACATAATAATTATAATATATGGGATTATAAAATGAGAGGTTGTAACCATTACATACAAATGATTCAATGAATGTGCAGTACTTAACACGTAAACAATAATGTTGTGCCTGTGCCTACCTAGTTGTTCTCAGGGCCATTCTTTCAAAAGCATCATCTTGTCGAAATAAAGGAAACTGATGAGTCCATTTGATGGAATCGCAGTACTCCTTGAGACCAAAATACATACTGTCTTGATCATCAACATATTGGTCATCCTCTATTGGAGTTGACGTAACAGAACTTGAATCTACAACATAGGCATAAATGAATAATTACCACTTGTTATAGATAACATAAAATTGATTAAAACATGTCATTGGCTTACTGTCAGCATTTTGAGTAGAGTTAGATTAATGCAAACTGTATCTTCAAATAAATGATACAGGTCCAGGTTGTTCAAAGCCTGATTAGCATTAATCCAGGGTTAACTCCATAGGTTTTTCAAGAGTTAACCAAGGATTAATATTACTGCTAATCGKGCTTTGAACAACCTGGCCCAGATGAATCGAAACTTACCAGAATCACTCCTGGAATCTGTCCAATAGACTTCATTCTCTGGGTCAATAAAGGAACAGTTAGTTTGAAACAAATATGGTGCAGATGTAACAAACAACGGAACCACATTAGAAGCTTCTAGAAACTCCTTATAAAAAGGCAAGTCTAGGACACCACGGGGTCTGGAGTAGAACTGAGCTTGATCAAAGATCAAAATAAACAGGGTAATAGGCTGTGTTTGGACTTTCTTCAGAAATGTAGACAGTTTTTCTTGGCTGTCATCACTGTCATCATGCTTGATTACGTAGCTCAATCCAGCATCAAACATTGTTGCTCTATTTTCATCTTCTAACTCTARATCAGCAAGGACAGCAGAGTCYGCAAGACGCTGWACGGTTTGATTGAATAAAGTATTGATAGGTGGGACAACAATGGCAAAGTCAACATTGACAAATCTGTTGATGTCTAGGGAACTTGAGTTTTCTGCAATGGAGCAGACYTGKGATACAAGTTGCTTGGCAATTTGGTTTTGTGTAGAGTACACAGTGTTGGTTTTCTGTCCATAGTGYTGAAATGAWGTAATGGTGACCTTTGGTTCAAGTTTAAGTGCCTCATCTTCTGGTACTTTCATCCTGGCAAATCCATTAAAAGGGACATAAACCAGCTTGCTTTCATGGCACATGGCTTCTTCATAACTACTGACAAGCTGTTCAAGAGCATCACTAGAGAGTCTAAACAGCTGTTCTAACTTGGCCACATTATCTGTGATTCTTGCTCCCACAGGGTGACCAATCATTGCCTCTGTCAAATAACGAGCTTGGTTTACTCCACTAACCAGTACACAAAACTCTGGAGCTTTCTTCTGTGAAGTTGCCAGTAGAAAAATATAATCAGGCATTGGCACTTTAGGGAACTTGGTTTGGTTGTGTTTGATGATATCCATAATGAACTTCAAGCCTCTGACTATTGCATTCTCCAAAGACACAGGAGAAGTTACAATTTTAACTCTTCCTTTAGATGGTACAGCTGCTAGATTAGCAAGGATTGGTAGTTGCACATGAGTTAGAAGGTTACTTTGGGCAAGAATATGAGAGTGCTGGTACCCTGCTGACAACTCAAGCTGTGCATCTTGAAGCAGCGACTCAACCTCTTCTCTCATGATGCGATCATCCTCGTCAAACTGTGATAGATACTGTATCATTAGAAGTATAGCCATCTGGGTCGTCAAGGGGCTTAATGATGACTGGTAATATCGTGCTTGGCTGGATGAGGGTCCCCTACTTGAATGTGACAAGGATTCCCCTGTGTTATAAGCTCCTGTAAAGTTGCCAAACTGGTTGTGGTCACTGACTTGAGGCGGGTCAAAACATCCCACCAAAAGATCACTCACTATAATGTCATGTACACTACAAGGAACGTTGGGGATGGAATGCTGACATAGAAGAAGTACAGGGCACACACCACATGCCGTTGTTAGCCATGGTTTGTTAGGAAGCTCAACTCTTGAGACTTCTTGGCTTGATGGTGCAGGGCTGTTCTCGCCATCTGTAAAAATACCAKAGGATAGCATGATATAAGATTGCTTGCTAATTTTATAATAAGTATAATACTGGATGTTAAAAAATAAAGGTAAACACAATGGAAAATCATTGCCGTGACCGCATCTTTATATGAGCAAGAGATTTGTCCTGATTTGCATACGACTTTAACTTCGATTTTCTCTTACAAATGATATTTTATCTTGAAGTTTTAAGCAAAATACGCTTTAGCTTATGTTAGAATTTGATAAGCAATATAAAATATTCGTGTCCGACCTTTATGGGCTCAGTGAGCAGTTTTACATGTTATGCCCATAAAGGTCTACCGCTCATATTTTATATATTACTTAAAAGCACCAAGAGAAAAGATAGAAGAAATCATATTTCTCACCACCAACATAGGTAAGCTCACTATCACTTCCTCCACTTTCCCATCTGTTTCGTTTAGCTGCTGGAGGACCACTATACTGAGTCATCATTGAYGGCGACTGGTAATTTATACCATCACCATTACTGGATGTTGCTATAGTTTGAGGATTCTGACTAACTATAGGAGGACCTGAAGTTCAATTATCCACAATAAATAATTAATACTATTTGCTGTAACATATTCAGAGTACCATAACACATAATTCTAATTTCAGCAATATGCAGAAATTCTGATCATTTTGACTTATACAATTTCAAGTAACTATATATAATATATATCAGAAATTATGGGATATCATCATYGATATTGTTTTGAAGTTGCATTGCACTAGTACTTTCTGAAAAAAATATTGCCGATGATATACCATAATTTCTKATATATTTTATGTATACTTGAAATATGAATCAAAAAGATCAGAATTTCTGCATATTGCTGTATCATTTAAAATTCATTATTAATTCATGATCTACTAGTGCAATCAAGGTTGTTGATTGCTGAACCTTGGTGAGCCTTACTGAACCTTTTCAATCTCTTATATATCTATAAATGCATGGATTGCTATGATTTATCTATAGATTACCTGATACTATACTAACTGATGACTGATCATTKGGGGTATCCTCATCCACTGGTACRACAAAAGATCCAGACATCGGCATRCTGCGTTTACGGCCCTCTACTGAAAAAAGACAACAATATTGAATSATAGGCAAAAGCATCCAAGGATTTCGTAAGACTRTGCAAGGGCGTGGATCATCGACTCAGCATTGCACCATCATGGAACCTTCCCTGCTACTGACAAATGGAAATAATGATTTAAGAGTATATCACCGTCCAACATGCCATGGTTACTGCTYGAAGGTACTGTGTTTTTACAAATTCATGTGAARTCTGCTCTACTATAATAAACATCTTTAATGGCAGTTTTGCAGTCATGAACAGTTTCAAACTAATACAATGAGCTATAATCACCTAAAATATGCCCGTAATATTTACCTCTCCAAGGAATAAGATTCCCTTTACGTAGTCTTCCATTTCCATCTTTCACTACATAGTATTTCATGTGTTTTTGTTTCTTGGGTTGAGTAGCAAGTCTCAGGTTTATATGCTGTGAAAACTCAGTGAAATATCTGAAACCTTTGGCACCACAACCAATACAATTACCACTAAACCCAAGCATGGTTGTGCTGGTCTCTTCATCTGGAAGATATCGTTTATCAACAGCAGCAACAAGCATTATTCCAGGAAGAATAGGAGACTTGCAACCAACAAGTGCATAAGAAGGTGGGACTTCAATGTTTAAACCCATCTCAGAGAGACAGGACAGTCGAAGTTCTCCACCAGCTTGACATTTTCCTAAAAAAAACAACAAAACATATTTTTAATAGAATGATTTACAAATCAAATTTACAATTTACCAAATAAATTTAACCATATAATGCTTCTTCTCATAATAAGCCTAAGGTTGTTGAATCAAGAATTGTTCGATCTTTCTACAGTGCAAACACTAAAAGAAAGAATAAAAAAACACTAACCAGATAGTGCTAAATACCACAATATAGTGTAGATTAGACAATAGAAAACAAGTCAATTTTCACAAATTAGTAAAATTTCGTTCTCTTATTACCATTAGGTTTTTCATGGTTAGTGTTTAATAATGTATGTCATCCTTGTGTAGGATACATTACTGAGAAAAATAATCCAGTATCAAGAGAAAAAATCAAAGAAGGTCTGCACACTATACTGTACACGAAAGCTTTGAAGAAAAGAATGAGATATAGAGTTGCCAGGTCAATTGTGACCTCTCTTATTGTGACAAACAATTTTAAGACTCTCATATTGACTTGTTAGTCTTACCAGGTTCAGAACAAACTGTAGTCAATCTTTTATTGATAACTTGAGATTGAATTCTTTCCAAACTCTCCTGTTGCCCTTCAGATTTGTTCATCTCATCTTGATCAATCCTCTCAGCAGTTTTATAATCTTCTCTCTTTGGCGAAGCATTAGCATCTTCTATTGTTGTCCCTTGTGCATGYTTAGACCTAGTAACTATACCACCAGCTCTAGAAGCTTGAATCCTTCCATTGCTGACAGACGGACCTAAAAAATAACATCTTCTTCATACCTTTTTGTGTWTKATTGGGTCTTCCATATTATTTTGAGTTTTCTATTTACACTATCCATGCAATGCACCTTTCAGTTTGATTGCTGAATGCCTGCCTCACTTCATGGTTAAATCAG